TTGCATGTTGCTTGTCACTAACTACCATCGGTAACCGGTTGTTTGTTCCTGGTGTTCGAGCGGCCGACCCACGAACAACAAATCGAGCTGTTCGTGAACATACGAGAACAAGCCGCCCGAACTCAGCTATAGTGTACACGCAGAACGCGTGCAAGAACCCGCTTGGAAAACGTACAACCACTTGTCTTTCTTTTGCTGCTTGAAGGTGCACTTTAGCTCGAGACGGATAAGGTCTTAAGGGTGCATCCACCAAATCGTTGTATTTCTACGCACGAGCTCATAAATTTTTTGTGATCCCTCGGGATTTTTACAATAAGACAGGCCATAATCAGGACGCATCGTAGAAATATTTCTGTAAATCCCGAATTTGAGACTGATGGAAACTTGACCCGGCACCACTTGCATACTCAGCCCTGGTTTCCAAAAATGATGAAATTATTGTTGAGGAAACCATGCATTCTGCCCTTTCGAACTGACCTGCTTTCTCTCCCATTTTCAGACAGACTTCATTCCTCACGGGATCGTCTTAGATTGATGGCCTTCCTCTTATCCGGGGAAACCCTCCGAGACCAAGTAGTTTCAAGAGAAGCTATCCAGATCATACTCGCCTCTTGGCGAGATTCCACAAGGAAATGTTACAAGTCAGCGTTACAGAAGTGGCTTTACTTTTGTAATCAGACAAAGACTGATACTGTTCAACCAGATGTAATTTCAATGGTTAATTTTCTTGCTGCAGAATTTCATAAAGGCAGAGAGTACAGCACTATCAACACCATGCGTAGTGCTATATCAGCAGTGACCTTACCTCAAGGGGGCGTTGTCATCGGTTCACAACCGCTATTTAAGAGACTTTTAGCAGGGTTATTCAACCCAAGGCCACCGAATCCACGGTCCTGGGATTTGACTTGTTCTACAGTAGCCTTGGTCCCTGGGATTTAATAAAGACATCCAGATTAATAAGTTCGCTATGGAATTGGTCATACCCATCGCCTTCGTGTCGGGGCAACGCTGTCAGACTTTAGCATTAATTAACTTGGATTATGCAATCGTTACCACTTCTGGTGACACATTTGCAATTGATAAGCTAAAAAAAAGAGAGTAAAATTGGGAAGCCTCATATCAGTATTTGCCTTACCCCTACGATGCCTCTCTTTGTGTAATCGATGTGTTGAAAACTTACCGTCCAAAAAACAAAACTTCTTAGAGGTACTGAGAGACAGTTGTTCTTAAGCTACGTAAAGCCACGTAAGGCTGTTGGTTCTGAAACTATAAGCCGTTGGATCAAAGGTACTCTTAAGGCAGCGATACAATGCAAATTACTGCACATAGCACTAGAATTCAGCATCCTGCAGTACCGCTTTCTGATGCGGTGTGCCAGTGGAAACAATAATGAGAACAGCTGGCTGGTCAGAATGTTCCATATTCGCCAGATATTACAATAAGAGTTTTGCTGGTGATTCTGTCTTTGCAGATGCGGTCCTTGGCAAAGAGATATTAGCGTAAATGTAGTATAGGCCTACAGGTCACCAACGGAAGTTGAATAATATACATTAATGCATGTGTGTCCCAACTGGACTGCTGCAAGTACACTGGATGTACGTCTAGGATTCATTACGCACAAGTACAGTGCATATATTTCTTAGGTGTTAATTGCCGTGTAAAGACCGCAATGCGATTTTCGTTTGGCTTATTTACAGATCAGCTGAGCTAAATGTACATGTACTACTCAATTTGAGCCTGTATATTACTTCTGATCTACATAATGTCGTTATAATTTGAACTTGTATTGGAAGATTTGCACTCCAAGTTTAACTTTTATGTGTTCCTGATATTTAAACCGATTGGAAACTCCAATTGGCACAAGTCTCTGCCATTTAGTGAAATCCATCACCCAAATGAATTGCATTCATTCAGAGTAATTTGAGTGACTAATTAATGTCATTTGGATACGAGGTACTCGATTCTGTTTGCAACTTCAGGAGGCTCTAAACATCTCAAGTAAGTCCGAGGTACTATGTGGTGCGAGGTAGAATTCCCTAATTAAACGAAATGAAATGTAATTGAAGTTTAATTAAAATTATACTGAGACATCACTAGCATTGAAGGACTTACTTCCCTCCCAGATTTCTGCTAACAAAAAGGTACAACTCTGATACCCTCCCGCTGCTAATTGGCCGACTGCAAACAGTTGATGTTCCGTACTACAAAATTGCCCTGAGGCGTACGTGCCGGGGCTCCGTTATATAGCAATGCTCTCTTTGTTATTACAATAGGAGCTCTCAAGCGTGACGACAGGATACCGCTGGCAGGTGCAATCTCAAGTAAGTCCTTCAGTGTTAGTGATGTTTCGGTAGAATTATAATTAAACTTCAATTACATTTCATTTTATTTCGTTTAATTGGGGAAGTTAATCGAACACACCAAGCAACGACGACGTTTACATGAAATGCGCCGCAATTGCTAAGGGCTTGTTACAGTCAGGATTTGAATTCCAGAATTTCTAGGTCAGGCCATCTGGTGGGGATTATAAGGTTGACCCTCTGGAGCCCGAACCTTAATCCTCCTGGGGTGCCATTATCTTTCTAGGCCAAACCCTGTAAAATGTTTCTTTTATTAGACCTTTGCATAATGAGTGAAAAGGGAATGTGCTAGGACATTATAAATTTGATAGATACTCGCATTCCGGGTTCTCTGTTGGCCATACCACCACGGGCAGGCGAGACGCTGACAGCACCAATGATCCAGCTACTACCGGTGTCCAAGTCGAGCCACCTTCATGGACCCGCTAGGCCTGGCCGTTCTTCCCAAACTTTGAACCATCGTGCTGGCGCTCAAGGCTACTATACTTCATTGCCCTGAACTGTACTTTCACGGGTATGACATCTATCCGCCTTAGGTATAGGCCTATTATACTGTGTAGACATGTAGCACTGCGTCGCCCTCGGGACCAGCGGTCAGTCAAGTTCCCCTCGTTGGAAATGGACCACGCCTCGCAGCAGTCCTCGCCCGCCGGTCAACAGGGCCACTTATGTGGTTTCCTATGTTCACCGGGCAATTTCTTTGTATGTATATCGGCTGATACTTTATTTATTATAATTGTATAAATTTGTGTTGTGTTTGTTAATTTCCCCATATTGATGGAAGTTGATTCATTGTTAAAATTTATGCACTTTTAGTTCTAATTCAAGTCACGCTTCACCTTCTTCATAATTGCTGGTGGTTGAAAATTGTCCGATTTACTTCTTGGTTCTTTCTTCATAGATTACTTTGCTGCCGTGTGCAACGGATTGGGCTTTTTCAGTTGATCTTTCCACACGTAACAGGCTTCAGACAAGCTAACCAGGATCACGCAGCGGGTGAACGGGACACAGGCACATCGCGTGCGCACATGCGCTTACGGTTCGTCTTAATCCTCAGAAGCTCTTGGACAAGAATTCGAAGTAAATGCAAATGAATAATCTAACAGTTAACAGCGAACCCCCAAGGGAACGCTCCAAAGTTGGGCAAATATGCATCATTAATGTTTCGTGATCGTGAATATGTGATTACCCTCGCTACGCCACCTCCGCAGTACGGACCGCAACGTGCGTCCAGCCAGCTAGCCACGTTCACCTTGCTTAAACGCTAAACATGGACGAACCTTGTCATTTCCGCTAGTAGGCCCCCAAGACATGAAGACCTCAGCAGCCATTCACAAAAATCTCTGCCCTTATATTCTTTAGCACATTTAAGTCGCACTTGCCAGTAGTCACCTTGTGTGCACCTGCAAAATTTCCAAAAGTTGTTCACTGATATACTGGTATCCGTGCTTCTTGAAGCACGTTAGCTCTAGTTATTGTTGCAACAAGTGGCATTAGATACGTTCCGTATTTGTAACAAACTTCAGTAAGAATAGCTCCCAAGCTTTGACTAATGATAGGATCTGTCTCTATGTCTTTAGCTGTGCTATTGGCATGTGGTCTGTTAACAGTTCGATGTCCAGAGGTATCGCTTATCGGTTACCCAAAGCGTCTGCAGTCGTTTTGTAAGTTTGATATGCATATTTGCTTTATTTTGCGAATTATTTGCAAAAGATACCGGGAGTGTGTGTACAACTGCTTGATTTTTTTGCGTAAATCAAAGTGTCTTTCCACTACACGGGTTCTCTGCTCACGCAAAGAAGGCTCCATATATCCGATGTTTAAGAATCTAAACTTTTTCCAGATCTGACTATCGATGTGTCATCAATGAAAGCGTTAGATGGGGAAGAAAGCAGAAGTTTGTGTTCAGCTGCTTGATTTCTTTGAGTGTCTTTTTACTACACGGGTTCTCTGCTCAGGCAAAGAAAGCTCTATATATCCGATGTTTAAGAATCTAAACTTTTTCCAGATCTATCGATGTGTCGTCTCTAGTTTCGGAAATATCCGCAAAAGAAAGCAAGAGTTTTTGTATAACTGCTGGATTATTTTGCGTAAATCTGAGTCTCTTTCCACTACACGGGTTCTCTGCTCACGCAAAAAAGGCTCCCTATACCCGATGTTTAAGAATCTAAACTTTTTCCAGATCTGACTATCGATATGTCATCTTAAAGGGCATATTCTCATGTATCGATTCATGCAAGTTTGATATGCATATTTGTTTTTTTCCCTGAATTATTCGCAAATGAAAGCGTTAGTTTGTGTAGAACTGCTTGGTTTTTTTGCGTAATTCTGAGTATCTTTCAACAACAAGGGTTCTCTGCTCACGCAAGGAAGGTTACATATATCCGATGTTTAAGGATCTAACAATTTTCAAGATCTGACAACCGTGGTGTCATCTGATAGGGCATATTCTCTTGTATTGATTCATGCAGGTTTGATATGCATATTTGCTTTAGTTGCGGAAATATCCGCAAAAGAAAGCAGGAGTTTTTTCAGCTGCTTGATTTTTTGCGTAAATCTGAGTGTCTTTCCACTACACGGGTTCTCTTGCTCACACAAAGAAGGTTCCATATGTCCAATGTTTAAGGATATAAAAATCGTCCAGATCTGACAATTGTTGTGCCATCTGAAAGTTCATATCCTTTTCTATCGATTCATGCAGGTTGGATATGCATATGTGCTTTAGTTTGGGATATATCTGCAAAAAGAAAGCAGAAGTTTGTGTTAAGCTGCTTGATTTCTTTGCGTGAATCTGAGTGTCTTTTTACTACACGGCTTTAGCGTACAGACCACTAATTTAAGGCCCATTGAAAACAGTGTAAAATCAGCACTGTTCAGGACCCAATAACATGCATACCAACATCCCTGAGAATTCATAAACACAAATGAAATTATTGTCTAGTCCCTAATCTTTCAATTTCTTTTAATTTTTTTGTGGGTTAACCAATTACATTTTTAATTATTCCCACAAAACAAAATCACCCCCCGAAAAGTGATTTTTCCGAAGTCCGATTGAGCCATTTTTCAAGCGGCAACCCTCAACTTTCTCGGGCACTTACGACCGTAGTTTTTAGCCATTCTGCTCTCATATGAAGGCTCAAAGACCCAGGGAGTTGATCCTGGCAGGGATTTACACAACCTCACCGTTTTGGGGGCCAAACAATCTCCCTTTTCAAAAGATACTGTGGGGGGGGCACTTTTAATGCTAATGAGCTGGCCAGAAATTCTCACTTGAGTTAGTGGTCTGCACCCTTTAGCTCGGTATCTGTATTTTATTTCGAAATCTCGAGAGAGATTCCGTGAGACTCCAGCCACGAGCATGCGCATTCATCACCCCACGCCGCAGTTTCGGCGGTAACCGTGAAACAATTTTCGATACTCCACGATTAGCCACGATCATCTAAGTAATCTTCGGCTCATGAGAACCTTTGTTTAATTGCCAGATTTCACTCCGTGATAATTATGGACTCAACAGGAAAATCAAAGTCTACTGAGATTGTCGGGAAACAACCGATAAACTCAGGCAAAAACAACCCGGTCTAACCGGGCGGCTTGCACCAGTACTGCTGTACACTCAATCATGTATCAGCACGGCGGTCGTCACAACCAACACGCATGTAACATGCACCGATGCCTCAACAACTGCAAGCGCAACGATGTCGCCGCCACGCACGCCATCCAAGCTGACGAGTTCGAGAAACTCGGACCAGTCAAAGCCAAAAAAGACACGCTCTAGCAAGTCTGCGGACGATGCAGCTGTAGCCAGACTCGAAAAACTTGAGGAACATATGAGCAAGCAGGCGGAAGAAGCACGGAGTTTTCAAGAAGTGATCATGGGTGCATTGACGCTTTACATGGCGGCGGCTGACGATGACAACACTAGCTACAATACCTATGCAGGCACAGAGAATACATGTACTACTGAGGAGGTCAATTTGTGTGACCCAACGGATGATGACATGGTTTCTGAACCTGCTTGTGCTAGTGGACTAATGTCCATGAACCAACAAAACCCAGACTCCAAATCACAGGCACAGCAGGCTGACTCCGACCAGACTGCAACATCACAGGCACTGCTTACGGACAAAGGGTTTGCTTCCCGGTTTACTGTTCTGTCTGGGGTTGGTAATCCTATTAAGGACTGAGGACATAGCGAGCAGTCTAACTTTTCTTCTAACAGAAAAACTGGAAGAAAAAAATCTGAATGACACTGCAGACACATATCATTGCCCCAGTAACTGTGAGGCTTTAGCAGTGCCCAAAATAAACCCACAAATCTGGGACAATATTTCAGCTAAAACCTGCTTCTGAGACCTGAAGCTTCACAAATGGTGCAGAAACCCCGCATAAAGGGGTTCACTGCTCTTGCTCGTGCCTTAAGGGTCCATTAACCACTGAACAGGAAGATGGTCTCGCTCTTCTGGCTTCGGCCAACTTTGAACTGAATAGTCTCCGCAAGGAGCTCATCAGGCCAGACCTGAACCAAAAATATGCCGACCTGTGCAGACTGTAAACGAAGGTGACACAGTAGTTGTTTGGCGATGACCTGGGAAAACAGGTTAAAGAACTCCACGATGGGGGTGATGCGCTTCGCACGCCAACAACTAGGGGTTTTTCACCGTTATGCAAACAAACGCTTCCAAACTGCAGGCTGGAAACAGGTGGACATACCTCTGGAACTAACAAAGCTCCTTTTTTACAGGGAGCCACACTCGGCTAAAGCTGAAACAGTTCCCATAAATAAATAATCTCCTCCAAAAAGGTCATTGAAAAGACATGTTATGGGTATGATCTGCATGTCTCAAACATCTTTACTCGCCGAAAGAAAGATCCAGGCATGCAGATGATATTAGATTTATCATCCTTGAAGGAGTATATTGAATGCAAACACTTCAAAATGGACGCTTTTGGAAGTGCAATGAATTGCATAACTGAAAACTGCTATATGGCCTCACTTGACCTTAAAGATGCCTACTATTCAGTGCCTATTGCTGTGGAATGTAGAAAGTTCCTCAAGTTTTGCTTGAACAATGAATTTTACCAGTATAAAGCCCTAACTAATAGGTTGAATTCAGGGCCCCGCCTCTTCACCAAGATATCGAAGCCCCTTTCTCCAGTTACGGAGCATGGGGCATATGACACCCTCAAAAAAGGAAGCAGAGCTGTCTGTTCAAGTAACAGCCAAAATGCTGGCAGGACTTGGATTTATCAAAAACCCTACTATATCAGTGTTCACCCCTCGACAAGAGATAGAATATAAGAATAAGAATAAAGCATTTATAAGG